GTATCTGCCTTTCTGTTCCTAGTGAATTTCACGTAGTTTAGTGTCATACAGATCCATCTGTGCTGTCACAAATGAGAAAACTTTCTCCTTCTTTTAAAGCTGTGTAGATTCCTTTCTGTGTACATGCCATATTGCTTTATCCGTTCCATCAGTGGACTCTTAAGCTGCTTCTGTATCTTGGCTACTGTGACTCATACTGAAATAAACATGGAAGTGCATTCTGTATGCCAACTTCAGTCCTTCTGGGTGTACACCCAGAACGGAGGTTACAGGAACATTTGCAATTTTATTTTTCATTTTTTTCAAAGACCTTCATTCTGCTTTCCAAAATGATTGCACTAATTTATATTCTCACCAACAGAAGACACTATTGACTTTTAAAAGCAGTACCATTTTAATAATGTTATTTCAGGAAAAGAATACATAACCCCTTTTAGCTGTACACAATGATATTATGACCTACCTTGATTTCAGATGCCTTAAATTATGGAGAAAAATATTCTTAGATACTACATGGCATGCATACAGTTTTCAAAGTTTATTTATTTTCTTCATGAAAAAGAGCAAGTGTATGCACGCAGGAGAGAGAGAGAGAAAAAGAGAGAGAGAGAGACCTTTGCCAGGTCTCATCTCACCACAGTCATCTTTTCCAAGCCCTCTGGCTTATCAAGACCTTGGGCATGCATACATGCATCCAGGATGTTTTCAGATCTCCCAGGTGCCCAAACTCTTGGCTGGCCTTGTGGCTTCCAGCCCTGTAGCTGAGGGTGCTGCCAGGTTGGGTATCCTATAGTTAATTTCTCTCCTCTCAGTCAGACTTACGCATTCTCATAAAACGTGCATGCACAATGACTCATACATGACAAAGTATTACATTTTATCCCAGTGACCTCTTTGTTCTTACTCTTTTTTCACCAGAGAAAGGAGAGAGAAAAAGAGATGGACCAAAATGAATAACCTCATCTTGGGACAACCTGTTTTTCCTGGGGCATTACTTGTCTCTTTTCATGCTGAGCATCCGTGTCTGGATGTGCCAAGTTGCTAGAACCCCTAGGAACACAAGGAGAAGAAGCCCTTTCCCCAGGAGAATCCATTTCACTGGACAGCAGGTGCCTTCAGCTGCCTTGGAACCTGAAAAACAGAAAGTAGAGTGAGCGCAGACAAAGCACGTGTGTAACTTGAATGACAGCTGCTGGCAGGTGCCAAGGGTTGTCTTATCCTGTCCTCAGCTCCTAGGGGTGCTGGAGAGACCAGAGGGGGACAATTACCTGTACAAAGCTGCCCAACAGGGAGTGGAGTGGAGCTGTAACTGCTCACAGGATTCTGAGCCATGCAGGTGTAGGTCCGATCCAGGTCATGAAGACACCAGGTGTCACTAAGGACAGACCCTTCCTGGGACACGACAGCCCATGGTCCCATTGGTGTCCACTGATATGTAACATGGTCTGCTCCCTCCACAGAACACCTCAGGGTGGTGATGCAGGACCCGTTCTCAGAGATGACGGAATCCACTTCAACCTGAGGTCTCCTCAGCTGCCCTGTTGGAGCAACAGTTTCAAAAGATACAAATAGTAATAAAAGACCATTCTAGGTCATGTCAGGAGGAGAGGATTCAGGTGATCAAGGGGAGAGAACTCTGAGAAACCCAGATCCTTCAGAGGAGGGATGCTGGTTATTCTATTTCCTGTCCCTGAGGGGCTGAGTGGAGAAAAGGACAGGCAGTGGGTGTTTTCAACCAGCTGCAACCACAGCCACCAGCCAGAATCTGCTGGTGACTGAAGGACATAAAAGGAAAAGAAAATAAAAAATGAAGATCAGAACCAGCAGAGAGCATAATGGTTATATTGCTGGACTCCCATGCAGTTGACTGCGGAGTCCTGGATGCAGTGGCTTCACACTCATGCTGGCCACACGTGCATGTGTGCCCAAAACCCTGAGGAAGAATGGAGGAGAAGGGACTATGGTGTGGCCATCAACCATGCGGGTCAATTCCTCACCTTCTGTCTCTCTGACAAGTGCATGCACTTTATAGCAAAATCTCTTTTTAAAAAATCTATGTAGGATAGTTCTGGTCAAAAGAGTGAAACTGGAGGACCATCGTTAGCAAAGATCATCACGCCCCCAGGATCACAGGTGGTCCCACCATCATTACCCAGAGGGACCTGGTTCTCCAAGCCCTTACTCACTGAAAATCCTCAGAGTGTATCTGGAGAGCCACGTGGCATTTTCTGTGCTCATTGTGGTGCTGTAAGGTCCTGCATCAGCCATCGTCAGGTTGTGGAGCTGCACGGAGTCAGGATGAATGAAGTTCAGTCGTGTTTTCCATTTAGGATCGGTCACATGTAGACTTCCTGCTTCTCTCGGGTTTATGAAGGCAATAGATCTTCCGCTGTAAAGCACAGTGATGGCCAAGATGTCCTCGGCCTTCCCTCCTGTGGGAAACTCCAGGGGAAGGGTTACCGACTTCCCCAGAGCCCCGTTCACCACCACTGGGGTGGATGTGCTTTGTGAAACTGCATTCCCTGTAAACACAGAAAGAAAAAGCCATAAAACTGTCCCTGATGGCTC